TCTGTCTGTCTCTGCCCCTCCACCCCAGACACTCACCCGCCTCATGGTTCCACACCGGCTGAAGCTTGCGGGGCAGGACCCGGCCCACTCCGTCCAGGAACCGAACCCAGGAGCCTGCAGCTGCCGCCATCTCGGCCACTCACCCACCAACTCACCCACCAGCTCACTCACCCACCAGCTCACTCACCAGCTCACCCACCAGCTCACCAACTCACTCACCAACTCACTCACCCACCAGCTCACCCACCAGCTCACCCACCAGCTCGCCCACCAACTCACCCACCAGCTCACCCACTCACTCACTCACCAACCAGCTCACCCACCAGCTCACCCACCAGCTCACTCACCAGCTCACTCACCCACTCACCAGCTCACTCACCAGCTCACCCACTCACCAACTCACCCACCAACTCACCCACCAGCTCACCCACCAGCTCACCCACTCACTCCCAACACGACCTCTACTCGACACGACCTCTGCACGGTCCCTTTAAATGCCACCACCCCCCCCACCCCCCAAACCCCGCCCCCCAACCCCCACCTCCCCTCCCCCCACCAACGTCCAATGGACGTTCGTGAACCTTCAACCGTCACGGGAGAGACGTCCTCTGGACGTACGCGCCAAATCTACCGGAATAGGAAGATGTCTACCGGCCGTTCGTAAACCGTCTACCGAAATCGGAAGATGGTTGCTGCCACCGGAAGATGTCTACCGGCTGTTCGTAAACCGTCTACCGAAATCGGAAGATGGTTGCTGCCACCGGAAGATGTCTACCGGCCGTTCGTAAACCGTCTACCGAAATCGGAAGATGGTTGCTGCCACCGGAAGATGTCTACCGGCCGTTCGTAAACCGTCTACCGAAATCGGAAGATGGTTGCTGCCACCGGAAGATGTCTACCGGCCGTTCGTAAACCGTCTACCGAAATCGGAAGATGGTTGCTGCCACCGGAAGATGTCTACCGGCCGTTCGTAAACCGTCTACCGAAATTGGAAGATGGTTGCTGCCACCGGAAGATGTCTACCGGCTGTTCGTAAACCGTCTACCGAAATCGAAAGATGGTTGCTGCCACCGGAAGATGTCTACCGGCCGTTCGTAAACCGTCTACCGAAATTGGAAGATGGTTCCTGCCACCGGAAGATGTCTACCGGCCGTTCGTAAACCGTCTACCGAAATTGGAAGATGGTTGCTGCCACCGGAAGATGTCTACCGGCCGTTCGTAAACCGTCTACCGGAATTGGAAGATGGTTGCTGCCACCGGAAGATGTCTACCGGCTCTTCGTAAACCGTCTACCGAAATTGGAAGATGGTTGCTGTCACCGGAAGATGTCTACCGGCTGTTCGTAAACGGTCTACCGAAATTGGAAGATATATTCCGCCACCGGAAGAAACTTCTGGAAGTTTATAAGAATTACGTCATGGGGACAGAGACAACGAAGAGGCGTGGTGGTGACGTCACGGAGGTGTGTTAGTGACGTCACCTCAGACACGGTGGCTAGTGACGTCACCGGGGGCGAGGTTTGCGTCTATGACGTCACCGAGGCTGCGCAACGCGTAACGCTTTGGTTCTTTCGGTAAAGTCACGGAGGTGAAAAAAAAAATAACAAAAAAAATACTGAGAATATAATAATAAAAATAATAATAAGAAAATAAAAATAACTATAAAATAATAAATAAAATAATAATAATAAAATAAAATAACAATAATAAATAATAAGAAAAAATAATAAGAAAATAAAAATAACAATAAAATAATAATTAAATTACTTATAATAATAAAATAACAACAATAACTAATAATAACAATAATAATAACAAAATAAAAATAACAATATAATTATAATTAAATTAATTATAATAATAAAATAAAAAAATAACTAAATTAAATCACGCCGTTTCCGAAGCAACACAAGCCTACGTCATCAGGTGGGACAGCCACAGCAAGAAATAAATATATAAGGCAGCAGCAGGGGGGAGGAGCCAGTGGAGGGGGGAGGAGCCAGTGGAGGGGGGAGGAGCCAGTGGAGGGGGGAGGAGCCAGTGGAGGGGGGAGGAGCCAGTGGAGGGGGGAGGAGCCAGTGGAGGGGGGAGGAGCCAGTGGAGGGGGGCGGAGCCAGTGGAGGGGGGAGGAGCCAGTGGAGGGGGGAGGAGCCAGTGGAGGGGGGAGGGGCCAGTGGAGGGGGGAGGAGCCAGGGGAGGGGGGAGGAGCCAGTGGAGGGGGGAGGGGCCAGTGGAGGGGGGAGGAGCCAGTGGAGGGGGGAGGAGCCAGTGGAGGGGGGAGGGGCCAGTGGAGGGGGGAGGAGCCAGTGGAGGGGGGAGGAGCCAGTGGAGGGGGGCGGAGCCAGTGGAGGGGGGAGGAGCCAGTGGAGGGGGGCGGAGCCAGTGGAGGGGGGCGGAGCCAGTGGAGGGGGGCGGAGCCAGTGGAGGGGGGAGGAGCCAGTGGAGGGGGGAGGAGCCAGTGGAGGGGGGAGGGGCCAGTGGAGGGGGGAGGGGGGGGTGGAGTAGGGGGGGTGGAGTAGGGGGGGTGGAGTAGGGGGGTGGAGTGGGGGGGGGTGGAGTAGGGGGGGTGGAGTGGGGGGGTGGAGTAGGGGGGGTGGAGTAGGGGGGTGGAGTAGGGGGGTGGAGTAGGGGGGTGGAGTGGGGGGGGTGGAGTGGGGGGGGTGGAGTAGGGGGGGTGGAGTGGGGGGGTGGAGTAGGGGGGGGGTGGAGTAGGGGGGGGGTGGAGTAGGGGGGTGGAGTAGGGGGGGAGCTCATTCACCTGGTGAACGACATCGCTGGTGTGACAATGCCGGAGTTTATATGATTGTGGTTATTGGTTGTACTTTAGTAATCTCTAATCTCTGCCATTACATACAATGAAACAAGATATGGTGAAAAGTAAAAACAGTGCAGTGTAATACAATACAGTATCAGACATTATTGTAAAAAATAAATAAAAAGCCCATCCCATGTGTTAGTGATTTTTTTTATATTTTAGGCAGGAAATGAGTTTTAAAATGTAGATATTTTTCTGGGTTGTGACCCCCAGACACTCTGGAAGATTTGGTCCCCCCCAATGTTGACTCCATTGGCTACGGACTTGGTAGACAGACAGACACACACACAGACACACACTAACACACACTAACACACACAGACACACACTAACACACACAGACACACACTAACACACACAGACAGACACACAGACACACACTATCACACACACACAGACACACACTAACACACACTATCACACACAAACACACAGACAGACACACACTAACACACACAGACACACACTAACACACACAGACAGACACACACTAACACACACACACAGACAGACACACACACACACACTAACACACACAGACACACACACAGACACCAACTAACACACACAGACACACACTAACACACACAGACACACACTAACACACGCAGACAGACATACAGACACACACTACAACACACAGACACACACTAACACACACAGACACACACATAGACAGACACACAGACAGACACACACTAACACACACTATCACACACTAACACACACTAACACACACACAGACACACACAGACAGACACACAGACAGACACACACTAACACACACACACAGACACACACACAGACACACAGACACATGGCAAGCGACTCGATGTTATGAATAAACTCATTTATATCGCTCGGATGGGACGGTACAGCAAATCGAAAAACAAACCACGCGGCAGATACAGCAGCCACGTGCAGTTAGCTCACAAAGCAACACCCACCACACACACCACACACACCACACCCAACACACACCACACACACCACACACACACACCACACACATACCACACACACCACACACACCACACACACACCACACACACCACACACACACACCACACACACCACACACACCACACACACCACACACACACACCACACACACAACACACACCACACACACCACAACCACAACACACACCCAACACACACACCACACACACCACACACACACTACACCCACAACACCCACCACCCACACTACACACACCACACACACAACACCCACAACACACACCACACCCACAACACCCACCACACACACCACACCCACCACACCCACAACACACACCACACACACCACACCCACCACACACACCACACACACGACACCCACCACACCCACTACGCTCACTACACACACACTACAAAGACAAAGATCCCCCGTGTAGCCTTAACAGACTGTTGGGGCAAGTGCTGTTAGCGAGCACCTATGAAGGCCGGCACGGCACACGAGGGGGTGGGTGGCCAGCACCACGCCCGACCGCCTTTGCCTCACCAATGGCGATTTTTACATTTGAGGCTGAGTCGACCTAGGGGAAGCCCATGACCGGTTCAGATAATCGTCACCGGCATTGGCCGTGAGCAGGAATCGAACTCGGGTCGCCGGGTTCGTAGCGCAGCGTAGCGCTAACCACTGCGCCACCGCTCCCCACACACACACTACACACCCCACAACACGCACACCACCCCCACCACGCACGCTACACCCCCCCCCCCCCCCGTATAGCCTGAACAGACTGTTGGGGCAAGTGCTGTTAGCGAGCACCAATTAAGGCCAGAACGGCACACGAGGGAGAGGGTTCTCTAGTGGCAATGTGGTTACGCAACACCACCAGACATTCATTTGAGGCCGAGTCGACCCAGGGGAGGCCCAGGACCGATTCACCAGGTTCGTAGCGAAAACCGCTACACTGCCGCTCCCCTAACAACACCCCACCCTCACCCCCACACACGTCACCCCCCCCTCCCCTCTAGTCCTTCGTCCACCACCGCCCCGGCTTGACCACCCTCACCCCCCCCTACCCCTCTAGTCCTTCCTCCACCACCGCCCCGGCTTGACCACCCTCACCCCCCCCTACCCCTCTAGTCCTTCCTCCACCACCGCCCCGGCCTGACCACCCTCACCGCGGACGAAGCCCTCCTCCCGCAGCCGCCCGTCGTCCCCACCAATCGGTGCGCCAGCCACACCTGGGCGGGCGTGAGTCCGTGCACGGCCACCAGGTCCCTCAGCAAACACCTCGCCACCTTCGCCACCCCGCCACCTCTCGCGGCCCACAGGCCTCCTCCTCCTCCGCCCGCCGCCGCCGCGGCCTTGCGCCCCGCGGGGCGGTCGAGGCCTAGAGTCCTGAAGCCGGCGTGGGCCTGGGGAGTGACCCCGAGCTGCAGGAGGCACATGCCCAGGAAGACGTCGTCGATGGGGAACGGAGCCACCGCGTCGGAGGCTCGCCGGAGCGCCAGCGCGGTCCGCCGCGACACCAGGAAGGCTCCACCGCCCGCGTACGGCGGGTAGCGGTCGGCGCCGTACAGCGAGTCCGGGATGAAGTATTTGCTGCGCGGGTCGCGTATGGGCCGGGCGTCCACGATGAGGTCGCCGGCGAAGAGGTGGTCGTCGGGGTCGAGGTCGGGGCCGCGCAGGAACGCGAGGGCGTTGGGGACGCTCACGAGCATGTCGGCGTCACACTGCAGCACGAAGGAGGCGCGCGGGCAGTGCTCGTGGAACCAGCGGAGAAAGCTGGTCTCCTGCCGGCACAGCGGGAGGCGGCGGGACGACCACCGGAGTGGAGAGGATGAGCGCGTGAGCGGGTGCGGGAGAGCACGCGGACAAATCGGGGTTGTTTGGTGGTCGTGGAGGTGTTTTAATAGTAATGGTAAATAATACCAAAGGAGGGAGCTGCGGATGAAGGAGAGAGCTGTGGATGAAAGAGGGAGCTGTAGATGATGGAGAGAGTTTAGGGTGAAGGAGAGAGCTGTGAATGAAGGAGAGAGCTGTGGATTAAGGACAGAGCTGTGGATTAAGGACAGAGCGTTGGATGAAGGAGCGAGCTGTGGATGAAGGAGCGAGCTGTAGATGACGGAGAGAGTTTAGGGTGAAGGAGAGAGCTGTGGATGAAAGAGGGAGCTGTAGATGATGGAGAGAGTTTAGGGTGAAGGAGAGAGCTGTGAATGAAGGAGAGAGCTGTGGATTAAGGACAGAGCTGTGGATTAAGGACAGAGCGTTGGATGAAGGAGCGAGCTGTGGATGAAGGAGCGAGCTGTAGATGACGGAGAGAGTTTAGGGTGAAGGAGAGAGCTGTGGATTAAGGACAGAGCGTTGGATGAAGGAGGGAGCTGTGGATGAAGGAGAGAGAGCTGTGGATGAAGGAGGGAGCTGTGAGTGAAGAAGAGAGCTGTGGATGAAGAAGAGAGAGCTGTGGCTGAAGGAGAGAGCTGTGGATGAAGGAGAGAGAGCTGTGGATGAAGGAGAGAGCTGTGGATGAAGGAGAGAGCTGTGGATGAAGGAGGGAGCTGTGGATGAAGGAGCGAGCTGTGAATGAAGGAGGGAGCTGTGAATGAAGGAGCGAGCTGTGGATGAAGGAGGGAGCTGTGGATGAAGGGGAGAGAGCTGTGGATGAAGGAGAGAGCTTTGGATGAAGGAGGGAGCTGTGGATGAAGGAGAAAACTAGAGCATGTTTGTTGGAATGTTTTGCCACAAGTACGTGTGGTTAATGCAGACATGGCATTTGGACATCTTAACACAACTCCCGTTTTATTGGCAGAAAAGGGTAAAACCTATTCGTCTTTTTCATACTTTGATACTGGCAACAGAAAAAAACAACAGTCTCATAAATTTCGATTTAAAGCTTTCGTGACTGCAGGGATTCAAACTTCTTGGTTCTTTCTCATCCAGACTCTGTCTCCCCGACAGACATGTTCTTCACCTGAGGACGGCTAGCTTGCGTTGCAGCCGAAACGTCGTGAGAATGATTTTATCACGTTAGATTTTTATTCTTTTATTATTTCCCTTCTACGCGACGACTTTACCGAAAGAACCAAGAAGAAGACGAGTCTCATAAATGTTAGTTTAGTTTGTAATAGTTTTTTGTGAGTGGTCCCACACCTTGAGGGTGAGGTTGAGGAAGGTGTCGTGGAAGCCCCACTGGAGGAGGTCACCGTAGGCGCTGCTCTCGTGCCTCAGGAACTCGTCCCAGAAGGTGGCGTTGACGGAGTCGGGCAGCGTTCCCAGCAGGAACACGCGGCGCACTCGGTGATCGCCACCGGCTCCCCAAGTCTGCCGCACCAACTCGCGATGGCCAAAGTCCTGGACACGGGACTTGATGGCGAGGAGGAGGTAGGGAGCTGGGAGAAAGGAGTGGGGAGCGGTGGTGCAGCGGTTAGCACGCCGCGCTGCGCGCTACAAACCCGGTGGAGGCCCGAGGTCGATTCCCGTTCATGGCCAGCAACAACTCGGACGCCAATGGTGACGATTATTATCTGGACAAATCGGTCCTAGAGGCCCAGGACCAGTTGGTCAGATAATTCAAAGACATATATCCCCCGTATAGCCTTAACTAGACTGTTGGGGCAAGTGAAAGTACAGACACATACACAACAACAACAACCGCCATTCACCACTAAGTGGCGGTGACGTCACCACGGTGCTTGTGCCAGGCTATGTGCACGTTAAGGCCATGAGAAGTGTCGAATGCCGGCTGGCAGGAGGTCACGGGGCAGACCCAGGTGCCACGGGTCGACTGACTGAGACGACTGGCTGATGCACCACCTGTGCCCCCTACTGTGCCAACTTGCTGTGTTTTAGCCGCCCGACGCTCCGCTCGTTGTTGTGAGCATCGGCGTGTTCACAGCCGTCGTCATAGCGACCGTCATAGGCGGCGTGTTCACAGCCGTTGTCATAGCGACCGTCATAGGCGGCGTGTTCACAGCTGTCGACATAGTGACCATCATAGCCCTCGTCAAAGGCGGCATGTGTCACAGCCGTCGTCATAGCGACCATCATAGCCCTCGTCATAGCCACCGTCATAGCCGTCATCATAGCCCTCGTCATAGTCACCGTCATAGCCGTCATCATAGCCCTCGTCATAGCCCTCGTCATAGCCGGCGTGTATCACAGCCGTCGTCACAGCTGTCGTCATAGCGACCGTCATAGGCGTCGTCATAGCGACCATCATAGCCGTCGTCATAGCCGTCGTCACAGCTGTCGTGTGTCACAGCCGTCGTCATAGCGACCGTCGTCATAGCCGTCGTCATAGCGACCATCACAGCCGTCGTCATAGCGACCATCATAGCGACCGTCGTCATAGCCGTCGCGTGTCCCAGGCCCCCGCCGCGTTCTCACCGCCGTGTGTCCCGGCGCAGGCCTCCGGCTGGTCGATGCGAAGCGGGAAGTGTCGGCAGTGGCGGTAGAGGAGGTGCTGCCGGTAGGCCCACGGCAAGGCCTGGAAGTCGGGCGAGGCCTGGGCCACCAGCGGGTCCGCGCGGCACTGATGGGCCCCCTCCTCCTCCTGTCCCTCCTGTCCCTCCTCTTCCTCACCCCCCACCACCACCTCCTCGCCCTCCCCCCCCACGGTGGGAGGGGAGGGGGAGGAGGAGGAGGGAACGAAGGAGTCGAAGCGAAGGACGCGGCCCGAGGAGGGGGAGGAGTTGAGCCTGGGGAAGATGGGGAGGAGGTAGAGGTGGTGGTGGACAAGGAGGGAGATGGGGAGGAGGAGGTGGTGGTGGAGGGAGATGGGGAGGAGGAGGAGGTGGAGGTGGTGGTGGGGGGAGATGGGAAGGAGGAGGTGGTGGTGGAGGTGGTGGAGGAGGGGGGAGATGGGGAGGAGGAGGAGGTGGTGGAGGAGGAGGTGGAGGAGGAGGGAGATGGGGAGGAGGAGGTGGTGGAGGTGGTGGAGGAGGGAGATGGGGAGGAGGAGGTGGTGGTGGAGGTGGTGGTGGGAGAGGGGGAAGATGGGGAGGAGGAGGAGGTGGTGGTGGTGGACAAGGAGGGAGATGGGGAGGAGGAGGAGGTGGTGGAGGTGGAGGTGGTGGAGGAGGGAGATGGGGAGGAGGAGGAGGTGGTGGAGGTGGTGGTGGGAGAGGGGGAGGAGGAGGTGGAGGAGGTGGTGGTGGAGGAGGAGGAGGAGGAGGAGGTGGTGGGAGATGGGGAGGAGGAGGTGGAGGAGGTGGACGAGGAGGGAGATGGGGAGGAGGAGGAGGAGGTGGAGGAGGTGGTGGAAGAGGGAGATGGGGAGGAGGAGCAGGTGGTGGAGGAGGTTGAGGGAGATGGGGAGAAGGAGGTGGTGGAGGTGGTGGTGGACAAGGAGGGAGATGGGAGGAGGTGGTGGTGGGGGAGGAGGTGTGGAGAGGGAGATGGGGAGAGGTGGTGGTGGAGGTGGTGGAC